CACAGAAGGTACCCCCCCCCCCCCCAGCCCCCCCCCACAAATTTCCCCCCCCATCATGTGCGGACAAGGGGGGGGGGGGGGTGGCCCCCACCTTTCTCCCCCCCCCAGGGGGACCGGGCGAAAAAGCCAAAGGTTTTTTTTTTTTTCCGGGCTTTTTTTTTGTAGGGTTCCCCTTTAAAGGGGAATTTTTAAGGCCGGGTTCCCCTCCTAAAGTTGGGAAAATTCTTTCCCCCCAATGGCGGAATTTTCAAAGGCTTCTCTTTTTTTTAATAACCCCCGGGGGGGTCCCCTTTTAAGCCCTTTTTTTTTTTCCTTGGGCCTTAGAGGGCCCTTAACTTTTTTTCAGTTACCTTCCTTCCTTCGGGGGCCCGCCGGAACCCTTTAAACCTTAAGGCCGCCCGGGGGAAAAAGCCCGAGAATGAGTTTCCTTTTTTCCCTTTCCCCTTTTTTTTGTTCCTTTTCCTCCCCCTCCCCCCCTTTTCGCCTTTCTTGGGAGCGAAGAAAGGGCCATTGGGAACCAAAAATTTTTTTTTAAAATTGGGGGCCCCCCTTTCCGAGAGGCCTTCCCCCTTTTTTGGGGGGGGGGGGGGGGGGGGCATGCCGTAGTCGTTAGAACATCGACCTCGCATCCCTACAATGCCGGGACGGGGTGAAATGCCGGCCCGGGCTACTGAGGGGGAGGGATAAAAGGGTGAATCATGCCGTTTGAAATAAATAAAATACTAATTTAGCGTTTGGTTCTGACAGCCAGCCACGCAGTCTGCGGCAGTGGCAAACCCCTGCCTAGCTTCATGGCACATCCAATCCATTCTGAGTTTCTTCAGCACCTTCCAAAACAAACGCCACTCGATCACACCTCAATACAAATAAAACACACCCCACGGAGCTGTGTCCATGTGTACCACGTCGCTCTGCTTGGAAACATAGGGCCCACTGGGATATTCACATTCGTATCCGAATGGCCCTAATAATTCCAAACAGCCGGGTACAGCGCCAGTTTGCTTATCCTTGGCGTACATTACAGCGGGGGGGCCGGTTTAGCGATCGACCCCCTGTTCAGCGGCATGCCCCGTAATACAGCAACCATAAACGTGTGGCACCACGGCACCCCGACCAACAGCCGCTGTACCCGCAATAGCGATCCTGCCCTGGTCATCAACCACACCCCCCCCGGACACACAAAAGGGGTCACCGTGCCCACCACTTCTGGACAGTCAGTTGTACCTCCGAGAGACTGGTGCCGTGGGTGCTCCCCCAGCTCTCCACCGTTCGCTCCACAACCGCCAGTATCGCAAAGCTCATGACGTCTCTCCAGGCCCCGGCGATATCTGGGGTCCAGACCCCTTCTCCCGCACACGCCTGGCGTACATTTCCCAATCGGATTAGTCTCCCATTGAACAGGATTGACGTGTCACTCGTATGATGAACTTTGGGTCAATCGAATTGTTCCCACCCTGCCTTGTTTGGTCCCGGGCATACATCTACAACGTTTGCGATTTGGTCGAAAATATTCCTTCCAAAATCGTCTTGATTTGGTTTGAGAAAACAACAACACAAGTTGACCACGTTGTGTATTATAAACGTTTCCTTTCTTTGGACAATGTGGATGGACTTTCCCATAGCCCCAGCCCGCACACACAATCCTCGGCCGTCGATTTTGTACTCTAGTTCTTACAAAAACAAAACAGATCTCATTTCTACCCACAGACAACGACAACCTGCAATCACCACTAGTGCCACTCTCTTTCTTAAGGATGTTGCAGCTGAAACGAACATCCTTCTCAAGGCAACTTTGGGGGCTATTCCGGGCCTATTCCGAAGTCACAGGATACCACAGGGCGCAACGACGCCAACAGCAAGCGGTCTTTCACCTTCCGAGCTGTAGGCAACACCTCCGCGGAATACTACAGAGGGCGCAACACCGCCAACAGCTAGCCGTCTCGCCTCAAGAGCTACAGGGAAAACCACCGCAATGAAATCACAAGATAGCACCGGACGCAACAACGCTTACGATTACCGTTAGGGTTAGGGTTAGCATCAATGCCAACAGCAAGCTGTCTGTCTGTCTGTCTGTCTGTCTGTCTGTCTGTCTGTCTGTCTGTCAATCTGTGTGTCTTTCTGTGTGTCTTTCTGTGTGTGTGTCTCTCTCTCTCTCTCTCTCTCTCTCTCTCTCTCTCTCTCTCTCTCTCTCTCTCTCTCTCTCTCTCTCTCTTCTCTCTCTCTTCTCTCTCCCTCTGCCACTCTCACCTCGAGAGCGATAGGCAACACTTCCGCGATGACCTCGTAGTGCTCGGGCCTCGCCCCCATGGCCACGCTCCGGTCGGCGAAAGAGTACAAAGGAGACAGCCCCTGCTTCAGCATGTCCTCCATTTTTACCTAAATACCGAAACATACAAAGGTCGGGCGCACAGGATAGGCAACGTATTTCTTAAGAACTAGATACCACCGTAATCTGGGGGCAAAGCTAGATGTACGCTACTCCCTGGCGGAATGACGCAGGAGCGAGGAAACTCGGGCCATTATTTGCTATTTAGAGACCGTGCAGTTCATTCAGCATTGACGGCTGGGACATACAAACACAAACCCATTCAGGACGCAGCAGCCAGGGAGCTCGGAAACGGCTTCGCTAGAGAGTAGAGAATAGACGGCAGGGGCACACACTGCCCTTCGTTCGGGAGAAGATCCTCCCTCTGCACCAATGGACAGGGAACAACGGGGAAGGCATCCACTCCCCAAAAACAAAAAACAAGAGAACGAGTGCTCGTCAGAGGCTGACCCCCAGGGTACTGTAGAGGCATCTACGGAGAGGGTTACCGCCGTCTCATCGCCGTTTCTCAACCTTCGATTCGGCCGGTTTCACCACGTCATCACTCACAATGATGTTGACCAATCACCACTCACAATGATGTTGACCAATCACCAATCACAATGATGTTGACCAATCACCACTCACCATGATGTTGACCAAATCACCACAAAACGATTATGTTGACCAATCATCAACTCACAATGATGTTGACCAATCACCACTCACAATGATGTTGACCAACCCCACCAGGAACTTCGACTGTCGGATCATGTTATCTCCGAACATGGATCGCATCGACGGCTCAAGCAGGAAGAGTCTCGCGAAAAACGTGTCGTACAGCGCCACTAGCGAAGTCGACGCCCCGTTGAAGGAGCCCTGCGGTTGCAATCGCCACCACAAATATTGTTGTTGTGGTTGTGTTTGATTTTGAAAGTTGTAGTTGTAGTTGTGGGCCCTCTGGAAGGGTTACCGGTTTCGTGGCAGCCATAACATACCGTATATGACACAAGATAACACACCCCCTTGGCCGATTTTCAAAGCTCGATTTCTCAACAGCAGGAAGAGTCACAGCGCCGAAAACGGCGGCGTTGGAACCGTCTCGTCGAGAGCTGTTCGAAAACGTATTGTTTCATTTATGCATCCTCTTCGTCGTGGAGTAATCGAGCTTTGAAAATCGGTCCAGGGGGTGTGTTATCTTGTGTCATATACGCTACACATGTGCATGTCTTGCGTGTATTTTTCGATCCCATCTACTACTGTGAGCGGCAGTCTACACCATCGGAATAACGCCTGACGCACCAACTTGGGCCACACCAAACGAAGGCCAGATCAAACACCGGAGTCACACTTTTCGGTTTCTCTCCCCCTGCGTTCCTTGCATCGCCTAGTTGCCCGCAGCTCACCTGAGTCTCTGGGCCCTCCGAAATCATGGCCCAATTCCGCTTCACGCCCTTCAGCATGGCGTGCGTCAGCTCCACTCTTCGGTTGATGTTGCGGGGGTTAAACCGCTCGTGCTGAATCAAGGTGGTCGATCAAGGGGTACGCGGGGCAAACCAAATGAAAGACAACGAAACACGGTGTTGGCGATGTTGGTGGTGGGGGCGTTGTTGTTGTTGCCGGCCCAAAAACACCTGATCTGAGCCCGATGCTCCACGGCGGTTTCAAACAAACCGCTCGTGCCGGAGACGATCAATAGGGAAGTTTGTGGAAATAGGTACGGGGGAAGAGGAACTAACACACAAGACAGCAGTAGCGGTGTTTGCTGCCGTTCAACCTATTGTCAAGGCACTCTCAACACCGGACCTCTTTGTATGCCTCGTCTTCCGCACGGTAGATCTGCAATAACAGCGTATTGCACCGGAGGTGCTTCGTGGCACAAATACTACAGAGGTATGAATGGCAGCTACATATGCATATCATGGGTCCCCCGGACGTCGCACCTCTTTCTCTCATCTGTGCGTTTCAAAAACTTCAGCCTGATCGTCTCACCCTCTCCGGAGTAGGCTTACGAAAAAACAATGTCATCAAGGGGTGGTAAAAAGAGGAAAGCAGGCAGCAGGACCAACCCACAGCTGGCTGACAGCTGACAGCTGTGACGTTGAGCAAGCTCAACAGTGCTTGAACAGCCCAGCGAACCAGCTGTGACGTTTAGCAAGCTAAACAGTACTTGAACAGCCCAGCGAACCAAAAAAAACTTCCCTCTACACCTTCCCAGCATAACATACGGATAGATGGACAAGATGGCTAACAATCTGTCTTGTTGAGCCTGTTACCCACGGGGGAGATATCGCTGTGTGCTGCTCGGTAAATCGTGGACATACAGGTAGCTTCCGCTGACGCGATGGATTCATTGTTCACCTATCTTAGACTCTATTCAATAGATGTAGATGTAGAGATGGATTCGGTGTGTCATATTAAGACACAAAAACAAATCTGCATGCAGTAGGTGGCCCGCTGTAAGTGGCACCCTGAATAGTGAAACTCCCGGTAGTGGCATGTTGCCACTATTGAGGACGGGCCTCTCAATAATAGTGGAATTTTGGGCATCTCACCCCGCCATAGTGGCAATCACACACATCGACTTTCTGCGCTTTCCTCTAGAAGACTACGCAAAGTCGTGTGGGATTGGCGAGTCCGCAAGGCAAACATGGCATTCTTCGCAGCACATGCCACTAGACCGGCTCGGCAGTTTTGGACATCGTGAAAGTAGTCTGTTGACACGCACATACAGGTGAAAAAGCATCGTGACGGTTGGGATTGATGCGCCAGGGTAGGGAGTGCTCGACGTTTATGTATACAATGCTTGGTTGCTCCAGTTGGTTTCGCGTACACTGCTTTTTTCATGTTTGATTGCTTGTGTTGCGTTCCATCCTACGTGGCCCGCCGGAGACAAAAAAAAGCGTGATTTTGCTGCTGGGCGTTTGGACATTGTTTTGCAGTCTACCTGCACACGAAGAAAGGAAGTAGGTTGCGAGCACAGAAGGCCTCGTTGTCACTTCTACGATCAATTGCCATTTCACATGAGATGGGGTGGATCTGCCTTACATGTGGATACTGCTGCCCATAACTGCTCAACAACGTAGAGAGTTACCCTATTGTAGATAGTACTATTGCACCAAACACATCAAAGTAGACACTAGCACAGCTGTCGGTACAGTAGGGTGCACGTCAAAGCTTCTTTTCCTCATTAGATGTCGGTAGGGTGCACATCAAAGCTGCTTTTCCTCATTAGATGTCGGTAGCGTGCATACCAAAGCTTATTCTCCGATACAGCAGTGACAATAGTGCCACTATTCACGGGTCACTACGATACCGTAGTGGCAATATTGCCACTACAGTACATATCGAATAGTGGCACTGCCCTGAATAGTGGCATACTCTCCTCTTGCCCCTACCATGCCGCTATGCCGGGCCACCTACTTGCTGTACAGCAGTCTTCCATATGTATCTCGCAGGTGTGTTCCGTGCAAAGTTCGTCCAAAAAAACATTTCGTTTCCAAAACAAGAAAGCGTGGAAAAGCTGAAAAACAAAACGCCGGTCAACCATGGACAAGAAGAGCGATATACTCTATCGGTATATACACATTTCTGAATGTGGTATGCAGCCTGGTTGCCAGCGCACACGTTTGTGTGACTTACTATACAATAAGTTCTCGAGCTCGATAACACCGTTCGTCCCACTCCACAGGAGAGATATTGTGTACCTTAAAATTCGGTGCCAATATGTACGTGCTTCAAAGTAATTGTGTACGCGGTGGAATGTACACAGTCTTGTTTTCGAATGTGACATTCGCCACGGTATTCAGCACCGCACCTACAGGGCGGGGAGCCCGTATCAGCAAAACGCCGTATTCTAGCACCAGTGCGCGCCAGGGGCAGATTGTCTACGCCCAACACCTTCTTGCATTTACGGTGAGAGGCGAGCACCTGGCACCCCCCCCCCCTAGACCCACTTTCAAAGATCGATTGCTCCACATCCCACTGGCTGCGGAGAGAGCCCGACACGTACACATAGGCG